GTATATTTTAAGACAGGCGGAACACAGAGAAGTTAACTATGGGTAAGATATAGTTCTGTTTTATAAAGGAAATCCCAAGATTTAAAGGGCCGTATCGTCAGTCGTTCCTACAATTGAAGGACGCCTTTATGGCCTCCTTGATTTTCATAGTCTTCTACTGTCCCGTGTCAGCGCTGTATTTTGAGGTTATGTTACAAATATCTATTTGCATCAAATTGCTTATGCTTTTAATTTATATGATCTGTTGTATCAGCCTGAAGTTTCCTACAATTCAAAAAGAAAACATAGTCTCACAGTAGGAAATCCCTGACGCTGACACGGAACAGTAGAAATCTAGAAATACCCTAGACTTTCTAAAGGAGGGAAAATACTATCAAACTCAAGTAGGCGTCCTACAATAATTGTAGGAAGGACTGTCGACACGGCCCTTAGCCTTCGTAGAAGATTTGACACCCTACCAATAGTTGAGTACGCCACTGGTAGAAGGGATCAGATGCAGGAGAGGCGCATACGGAGTATGAACCTCATGTAGTTAAGACCCGGTAGCGGTGGCTGCTGCCTCTAATCTATTTACTTTTGTATTTCCATGTTAATTTCTCATTTATTCAATGATTCAATTGCATCAGATCTGGTTACATGAGATGAGCGATTCCAAGTATTACAAGAGATAGAGGTATGGTTGACACAGCTATATGTTGTAACAGAAATATGAAGTTGATGCATACAGGGTGACTTCCAAGTCCTTATGTAGTTAGAAGAGCAACAAGAAAAATTATTGCAAATTTGGGTCCTAAAGCGCCTCATTACCAAAATCCAGGGTGTTGGAGTTTTAATTTTGAAACCGAAAAAATCTATATCTTCGACATGTGTTAAGATATTGACTTAAAATTGAGAGCATGAGGCTATACCAGTGGCGTAGGAATTGGGAAATATTGACGTCCACTGAAGAGAACTGAAAATTATTTTCATTCCACTGACTCTTTTGGAAACATATAATGTTTGTTTGGATAAAATATTCAGTTTTGCATGGATCATCTCTCTTAATAAAATTTGGTCAGTCTTGGAGAAAACTAGATCTCAATATTTGAAAATTATATGTAGTGTGATTAATCATATCAAACCATAGCATTATTTGAACAATGTTCATGTTTTGTCCTTATTCCGTCTCATCGGTAGCGTATAAATTTACGTTAATACACTGTATCTTTAAAACGGGACACTACGGGACATCGCTTTATAGGAATTTTTTAATTTTGGATATACTTTTTACTGCAGAGATACTGCCACGTTTTTTAAATAGCCCTGTATAAAATATAACAGAGCAAAGAAAGTAGTAAATTGACGTAGTGATATGGATGTGGGTGATATTTTGGAATGAAAAAACGGTATCACCACAACTTGTACGAGGGATGTCTTTTAAGTTTTGCATATGGAAATAAAACAACACGGTAGGTAGTTTTAAATGAATTTATTGTCTTTCGAAGTGTTTTCCACGAAGATTAATACACATCTGCATGCGCTCGAACCAATTTTCGAAGCACTTATTCCACTCGTTTGCTGGCAGATCCAAAACAGCATTTTTGAATGCGTCAACTGCTTCTTCTGGTGACTGGAACCTTAGACCACGCAGTTTGTTTTTAATTTTCGGGAAAGTAAAGAAATCGTTAGGACTTAGATCGGGACTATATGGAGGGTGGTCCAATAATTCCACGTTTTCTTTCGTTAAATATTGCCTTGTTTTTTGGGCTGTGTGCGAGCTTGCATTGTCTTGGTGGAGGATGATTCTTCTTTCGGGGTTGATTTTTCGAAGCTCGGTGAAGACTTTTGGCAAACAAATGGTGGTATACCAGTCCGCAGTAACAGTTCTTTGCTCATTAAGAGGAATTGTTGCAATATGACCCGCTTTTGACACAAATGTCGCGACCACCTTTTTCGAAACACTTCGAGAACGGATCACTTTTGTTGGCTTTTCTTCACTTTGGAACAACCAAACAGCCGAATGTCGTTTATTTTCTGGTTCATAACAGTAAATCCACGATTCGTCACCACTAACAATGCTGTACACATTTTTTGAGTTTCCGGAATTGGAACGGTCAAGCGTTTTTTGACACCAATTAATCCTGGCAGCTTTCTGCTTTTCAGTCAACAGGTGGGGTATCCAACGAGAAACTATTTTTCTTACTCCTAGTTCTTCATGTAAAATTGTTTGAATTGAGGTCTTTGAAATATTCAAGTACGCCTCAATCACGCGATATGTCACATGTCTATCTTCAATGATGAGTTTGCGTACAGCATCGACGTTTTCCTGGTTGACTGCCGTTGTTGGTGCACCCACCCTGGGATCGTCGCTAAGACTCACCCGTCCACGTTTGAATTCTCCATACCAACGGGAAATTGTCGACTGATGTGGCGCTTCGTTGCCGAAAACAGACAGCAACTCTTGTTGCGATAATTGTCTCTGAAAGTTGTAATAAATTATGGCGCGAAAATGTTCTCGGTTGAGTTCCATTTTTCTAATGACTTGGTGACACTTAAAAATTCACTGTAGTGAGAACACTGCACGTATCGCTGTGAAACTTTGAATTTAAGCTTACTAAAGAGTGAGGTTAAGATTCAGTATTGACGTTCGATCCGCGCGGCATACTATGTTTCTATATGCAAAACTTAAAAGACATCCCTCGTAGAAAGCTGAAGTGGACTTTATTTTATTTTGAAAGAAGGCGCACGTGCATAGTATTAATATAAAATGGATTGATTCTATGATACGATTGGCGCCTGTCTATTAATCAAATCAGATATAACTGGAATATGCAGCTATAAATGCATTACAAATACGTGTCACAACTTGAAAACTGCTTTATTCTAATTTGGTTACCAGCAGCTGTAATCTAATGTCAATGCCAAACTAATATCACCAATCTAGGAATTGCTTATCAATTGCTGCGTCGCAAATATTAGATTTTGCTTATCAGTGATACAAATTTTCAGTTAACCTTTTGAACAATTCCTTTCAAGAACATTTTTTCTCAAGCTTTACGAAATAGGGAACTGTGATTACTGTATAGAAGATTTTTCTTCTAATGACCATTTTTATATTAGTTTCTTGTAATTAATTGAAATTTGGTGTCTAAAGAAACACAGTTTCCTCTTACGACGTTTTTGAAAAATTTATTTTCTTCCTAAGGGCCCCTTTTACTTCGAGACTGTTGTCAAAAAATAAAATCCAACGTTTTGTACATCAGTACAGCTGGACATAAATTGATCACAGTTCGAGGTAAAAGCCCTGTGCAGAAAATAAGATTACAAAACTTGGAAAAACGACGTACTTATTACCTATTTTGAAGGTTACCTTAAACAATAAGTTGGCTGTGGAATTAGAACTATGCTTACACTACCTTTACCATGGCAGACTATTAAACTTGGAGTTTGTAATGTATCATACTACCTTACTTTTTAACGGCAAGGTGTAGCTTATGTATCATCCGTTGTGTGGTATGCTTGGAGTATTTGAACATCTGAATATGGACCATAATAAAGAAAGTATGTACTTGCATTTGATGTTATAGATTATCATTGACAAGGGGTTGACCTGGCAAAAACATACTGATATTTTGACACAACAACAAAATTCCAAATTACCTTTCGGCAGCTTTATCCTTTGTTGCGCAGAAATTCAGAATTAAGTTTTATCAACAAGATTCGGTTGTATAAAATGGTTATAAGACCCGCAATCACCTACGCATGCGCGGCTTGGTGTTTTCTTGCCAAGACTCACATGCAGAGACTGCAAGTCCTGCAAAACTCTACGCACAAAAACTAACGCCCCTTGGTACGTGTCAAATGAGACCATTCACAGAGATCTTGATATCCCGTATCTAAGGGATTATGTAAAACAACAGGCACAGCGGCGCTATAATCAATCGGAATCGCGCAGCAATCCTCTTTTGCGTGACTCAGTAGACTACACAGTTGTGCAAGTTCGCAAACATTCCAGGCCGCGCCTCGCACTGTGATCAAAATTAAATTCAGACCAGCCAAAATTATTTCAGTATACAAAACTGATCAAAATTATTTTTTGGAGTTACAAAATAATTCGAGTAGTCAAAGCAATAATGCTTAAGCTATTTCAAATGATTTACTTCTTTTCTTTGCTCTATTTCTTCCTTCCTTTCTTTCCTTCTTTGCCTTTTCCCCTTAAACATGTTTGGTATCTGTGTAGCCAGACCTGACAGACTAACAGACTGACGAGACTTTTAACTAAGAGCAACGGCCCACCGAACCGCTCTGACATAGATAGAAATCTTTTGATTCTGTTTTTTTTCATGTATACGGCGAATTGAACGTACTACTATTTTTAGCTTCACATCTTTATATGTAAAGTATTATTTAGAGAGGTTTTTCATAATGTTCCGCTCTTTGGTCAATTAGAATACAAGATGACAGTTTTTGCAAGCTATTGAGAAATATAACCTTACATACAGTCATATTATGGCAGTTCATCCTTTGAAGTAGCCTCAAAACACCCTTCAAAGGCCATTGTAGAGACAAAGTTATCTCTGGTTTGGACTCAACGACCGCGAAAACCCGTATGACGCGCGTTTGGACACGGGCACTAGATTTGTTATGAATTTTGTCTTTGAAGCAACCTTGAAACGACCTTCAAGTACTTTCCAAGTGAGTAATTGAACTTTGATTCGGAACTTGAACAACACGCGGTTGGGCTCAACTACTGGCTTCTTTTGAAAATGTCCTTGATATGACTTTGAGGTGACTCACAAATAACCTCATAGAGGCAAACTAACTTCAGACTCGAAATCAGCCAAAACTGTATAAATGCCATAGAAATTGTATTTTTTTGCCAGTTATTCTAGACCACTGTGCGTCTCCAGAGATTATCCGTCAATTCTAGAAATAATCATTTGTGCTTTTGATACATCCTGCAAATTAAGTAATCTTAAAAAATGTAATTGTTTCAGATTGCGGGAGGCGGTGGCAGGGGCATGTTCTGCTACCACTGCCCCCCCGCACTGCACCCTGGAGCTCCACAACCAAGGTTACCAACGTTGGAATACCCTTTTACACCAACTCATCCTTGTAAGTAAACATTCTTATATACATCCCAATATGTCAAAATGTGTACGACATAATAAAGCCGATTTCAAACGCCCAATAAACACAAATCAGCTAGAACTTCATGTTTTTCTGCACAAATGAAACCACGTATCGTCAGTGAAGCTCTAACGGCGCGTAAGTAAAAAAAATGGCGTAGGTTGACTCTGCACTTCCCACGCAACGCCGTTATCAGATGAAGATTATGTTCAGCACAAACTAGGCCCTTTGAGGAAAAAGTCAGTCAAACTGGTCCATATAATTAGTCCATAGACATTTTTCCTGCCCTACCGGTAGTGCATTTGGAAACGGCGCCCCTCCTCGATACTTAACCCGGTCAGTCGTGGCAGTGCGGTCAGAGCCTAGAAAACATTATGCTGTGGCATGGCAGAAGTACGTGTAATACCATACCAGAACAACAGAACGCTCCCAAGGTCAGCGGAATTCCGTCGAAGGCAGCAGTCGCTGCCGGTAGATATGCGATCCGTTTGCCGGAAATATAATATTTTTTGAGGGCTAATGTACGGAGAAATCTATGATGTGTGAGACATGTCTAATAGTTGCGATGAGTGACCAAGGTTGGGAAATGTCATAACAAAAAGAGATAAAATCTCCACACCCCTACAACCTTCCACCATCCAACTTTTTTACCGCAAAAACTTTTTTAGAAGATTTTTGCGATTGCAATGCCTCCCTGCCAGTAGCCGTGGGAAGTAAGAAGCCTACTTTACAGGAGAGAAATAGGACTACAGTATATTCAGATAAGAGACGCTAACGCCGCCGTCTCGACGTAAAACAGGAGCCCTCATTGGTCAATTCGCAATTAAATGCCTATGCCGAGCGGCAGAGCAGTCGTAACAAGGCAGAGTCACATTCAGGTTCAGACGTGTTACGTATGTCGTGTGCATCATTGCAATTTGATATTTCTTTGGACGTTTTCGTTTGTTATCTTATTAAGTTGTTGAGTTTGTCGTTGTTATTGTTATACCTTGTTATTGATTGTTATTGTTATCAACTGCTTGCGCAAAATGCCCAGTAGTACAGATACTGCCGATGAAGTTGTAAACTCCTGTAGTCCACCTAGGAAACGCTCTAAAAAAAGACACCTGAGTGCAGAAATGAAAGAGGTCATTTTGAATATATATAAGATCGAGCGCGAGGAGAACGAGGCATCAACCATCAAAGAAATTGTTGTGAAGGTTTCTCACAAAGTTGGGGTGTGTCGCGCATCAGTGTTTAATGTGTTAAGACAATACAAAAAAAATCACACCTTTTCTGAGCCAATCACCAGTAAGCATCGCAAGAGTATTGTTAAATCATTGGATGAAGCTGATAAGCATGCGATTAGGAGGAAAGTGCATGAATTCTTCTTTAGGAATGAAATACCTACTATAGATAAAGTACTACAGGAGGTAAATGGAGATACAACGTTGCCAAATTTCAAACGATCAACTTTCCATGCGTTACTGAAGCATTTAAATTTCAAATGGAAAAAACGGGGTCGTAATAGTTTACTACTGGATAGAGAAGAAATTGTGCTATGGAGGAGGGATTATTTAACAAAAATTGGGAAATATAGAAATCAAAACAGGAAGATTTATTACCTTGATGAAACGTGGGTAAACGCAGGACACACTACAAGTAAAGTATGGGTTGATGATTCTGTTACTTCATCCAGGAGGGCCTTTCTAGATGGACTGTCCACCGGATTGAAAAATCCAGCAGGTAAATACGAGTAATAGACAACAATCGGATGTTTTTCAAATCTTGGGAACAAGGTTCTAAACATTAATTCCAGGGGGCAGATAAAACATATTACAAGTAACAAAACTTTTATAACTTTCGATAAAATGCGTGGATGTTTTATTGTCATTTTCATTTGTTAGAACTTTTTTAAGCCATGTTTTTATGTGTTTTCGATATTTCAATAATTTTTTAATATAATATTAAAATATGTCGAATATTATAAACTTAAAAAAAGTTACTAAGTTTTATATTGTGTACCGTTCCTAATATTTCTAATCATTTTAATTCATACTTTAACCTTTATAAAGTTATAATTTGTTAATATTAATATTTGCGCGTATTTCAGGTTCCTGATCATTCATTTTTTAAAGGTTTATAACTTTAAATTAAATTGTGAAGCGCTGAGTAATCATACGACGTTCAATATTATTTCTTTCAATATGACTAGATAATCCCAATTATAGCAATCTGATACTCATGTCTCAATGTTTTTTCGCTGAATGTGATGAAAACATTTGAAAAAGGTTCGCTTATTGAAATAAATCTACACCAGTTAGTACTTCGATTTCCAGGTAAAGGGAAAAGGCTCATTATCTGCAATATTGGCAGTGAGGATGGATTTGTTGTTGACGGTCTGTGGTGCTTTGAGTCTAAGAAAACTGGAGATTACCACGAGGAAATGAATGGCGAATCATTTGAACAGTGGTTTTCAAAAATTTTACCGAACTTAGAGGAAAACGCAGTAATTGTGTTGGATAATGCGCCTTATCATTCTCGAAGAATGGAGAAGGTCCCAACAACGGCTTCAAGGAAAGTTGATGTTCAAAATTGGCTCCGCTCGAAAAATATCAACTTTGAAGAAGCAATGCTGAAAGTACAATTATTAAGAATTGTCAAGGATCACAAGGCGGAATATCAAAAATACGCCATTGACGAAATGGTAGCAATTCAAAATAAAACTGTGCTCCGTTTACCTCCATACCCTTGCGAGCTCAATCCCATTGAGCTCATATGGGCAGAGGTTAAAAATTATATAGCTAAGCACAATACAACTTTTAAATTTTGTGACCTCAAAGGACTTTTCAAAGAAGCACTAGAATTAATAACAGCGCAAAAATGGGAAAACTGTATTAAGCACGTGAAAGACAAAATTGAAAAGAGAATGTGGGAACTGGACAATATTTTAGAGGAACAAGTCGAGCCATTCATTATTGACGTTGGTGCTTCAGGCAGTAGCGATGATGAAAGCTCATCAAGCTCATCTTTCCAATAAAAGATGTCGTTCATCAAATTCGGTAAGTTATAAGTAATTATAAAGCTACTGTATTTTTTAATTAATTATTGACATTCTTGAACCCATTTTGGCAAAACCTATTCAAGAATCTACTTTACTTAACGCCATTTTGAGATTATATTCGACTGTATTTCACCAAACATCAGGCGGCATCCGAAGCTGGAAATCGAAGCGAAAATTTTGAAACCCTTATGTATATTTACATCATTATATATTTCTTACCGCACCCCCACATGATCCTATATCCATCACCAATCGTATACACATCGAATTGTGCTAATTTACTACAAAGTTACGCAAAGCAGCATCTACTATCTAAAATATGTACTGCGTGACTCTTAATACGTCCCTGCCGAATGTTACAGCGTTCGATGATCACGTGGTCTTGTTTATGTCCGGTCTATCTCTTATCTGAATATACTGTATATAAGATATTCGTTAACAAACCTTGACGTATACATGGTTGTATTGAAAAATAAGACGCTATTGGTCCTTTCTGATAGGTCAAATGAAAGCCTGTAAATTATCCTCCTGGAATGGCATTACACTTGCCAAAAATGACCTAAGCACTGTTAGAATCTTACTGACGATATGTAGAAATTACCCAGAAATGATGCACCACCAATCAGGAAAATGAAAAATTTTAACTAACCAATAGGTGATTTTTTACTAGTATCTTTTTGGCAACACTGTTTTTGACAGATGACGCGTGAATCGTGTCTTGTGTCATTGTCAAACTTGTTCAGTTTGGTCTATAATTTACCCATGAATCGACTTACGAACGAACAACGCTTGCAAATTATTGAATTTTACTATCAAAATTCATGCTCGGTTAAGAGAGTGCATCGAGCACTGCTTCCAATTTATGGGCAATTTGGTCGGCCTACTGAGGGAGCTATTCGGAAGCTTGTGACTAAATTTGGAACCCAGTTTACATTATTGGATATTAAACCACCAACACGCAGACGTAGAGTGAGGACTGAAGAAAATAATTGCGGCTGTATCCGCCAGTGTTAGTGATGACCGTGAAATGCCTAGATTCAATGAATTATTTTATTTAGATCTAAAAGTGTATTTAGATAATATTCTTACTATGGTTATGGGCCACTAAGCGCCTAATGCACGCATATTTCGCTTGATCAATATAACTGATCCACTTCATAACTACTACACCAACAACGGTATAACATTGAAATATGAGGCTCTTTGCGAAAATCACAAAAGAAAATGAGGAGTTCGAAAAGCGTCACCGGCACTGCGTCTGACGAGTATTCCCGATAATTCACGAATTACGGGTAGAGGTCTGTCGAGTCAAATAAACAGTTAAACTGTTTTTAATAAATCTTTAATTGCTTTAAACGTACCTTTTCTACATAAACTAAAAGCCTAAGCTAATTAGACAGCTTAATAGGACAGGTAGGTTTTGCTGTTTTCAAGCAAATTAGTTTATTAGTATATTACTTTCAATTAAACTAGTTTCAGAAAATACAGTTCAATTAAACAGCCTAACTTAGTTAGGTACTTAGAATAATTAAAAAATGTATTACATATCATGAAAATTTTACAGAACAACGTTTACTCAGTGTATTATCTTCGACTACTACTGCTATATTTATTGGATTGTATATTTTTATTGGTTTATCAGACACGCTTTTAGCAACTTTCCGCTAATACTTTCACGTGTTTCCTTTAGCCTCTCCTTCTACCCCATCCGTCGGCACATATGGACACGTAGCAATCCCCTAAATTCGATAATGACCATCTTTCAGGAGGGATTATCGTCGATAATCACAGGTTGTCAGAAGCGGGATGGAATAGTGAGTGGGCTGTGTGTGCGGGTGCTACAACGCGAGGTCAAAACTAATGTGATAAGTCCTGTAATCCCCCGTCTCTCGCCGAACATGCGGTGCGGTGGTGAAATTCGGGAATTAGGGGGCTGTCGGAC